ACTTATTCAGACCGCTGAACACGCAAAGCACTACGTCTTCTCTTTGCTACACCTCTTAGGCCAGCCATTACAACGTATTCTTTGCTGCAAGAAAATATCTGCTACATGGCTGCACTAGCCGTTCCTTCTTACGAGACTAAATGGCAATACTTAAACTTAGCATCACCGGTTCCTCTCAGCACGTTCAAATGTGTGGCATTTGGTTCACTTGTACGAATGAACTAGCCTTTGAGCCAAGGCCCAGTTCCTTCTTTATCTCGTAGAATACATAAAGATTCAGTCCAACTTAATACCCTCTTCTACATAGCAATAAATCTTCGGATATTGCACTGATGTCAGCGGAAAGCAAGCTCTACATTTTTTACCAAATTCTATTCTACCATCCGTCTTATGTGGCATGTATGCAGATGCTTAAAGTGAGAGAGTTTATTTAACGCTTATCAACAAAATGGTGTTCCGCAGATAATATACTCCAAACGGAAGCGATACCACTGTAAATTATATGAGAAATTTCGCATCAGACTTTTGTACTGCATCTGTCTACGTCTAAAATGACTACCTCGAATCGTTTTGTATACGTAGCTGTGTTTCGTTCCGCCGTATCTTTTAAACACCTGTTTTGGGCCAGCATTCAAACGTCTAGTTAGCAAACACAGGTGGCTCTGGTTCCTACTGTAATATATATTAATCTTTAAGTGGACCGCTATAGGAGAGGGGCAGGAAACGAATCGGAACGCGAATCTCGTGTACGAGGACCGTGAGGAATTACTATCCGGGTGATATTTTCTATTCAGCTCATCTGTACTCCTATCCCCGTACTTCCTATTTTTGATACCTAATAAACCTACTGCAACTAATCCTCTCTTGAAGTCCGTGGTTCAAGAGCATGAGGGTAAACAGGTAGTTCCTACACCTGCTCTCAGACTGATTGTAACTCGAGCTACAAAAGGCTAAGTACAAAACCTCATTCCCATGGTGACTGATGATTAGAGCGGCTGAATCACAGATGTTTCTTTTTTGAGGTGGCTGGCACGGAAGGTTTACCAGG